TTAACATTACAAGAGATATTTCTAAGTGGGCGTTAGGGTCATGACATTTTCTCAGCTGGGCAAGCCAGTGGGGTGAGACTTTTAAATCTCACGTCCCCTTCGAAATAAGCTGTGGCGCTAGGCTGTGTTGCCTCCTTCTCCTCTCCTCCCCCCAAAGTGTGTTCTGACAGAGGATAAAGCTATTTTACCAAAAAAGAAAGAAAGAAAGAAAGAAAGAAAGAATTGCTTGCTTTTTAAAGGCGAAATACCAGTGGGATTTTTTTTTCTTTGGTAGACCGTGAAAGATTCTAAAATTTATATTTATATATGTAAACGCAGAAGTCCAGGAACAGCCAAGACATTATTGAAGAAAACGAACAAGATGGAAGATGAATTAGCTCTGAAAGGACACTCCAGAGCACTTGACACTGGGGGCAGGAGTGAGACAACCCTTGGGACAGCACTGGTTTCTGTCTCTGACAGGCACCCTTCCCCTTCTCTGTTTTGGATGTTTTGGAAGGCCCCAGTTACACGCTGGCTGATCGCTCTCTGTTTTTCAGGGCCCTCTTCTTCCCAATCTGCCTCTCCTTACCAGCCCCACCCTGGGACCCTGATACCAAATTTTGAAGGTGAACCCTTTCTGTGCAGGAGTAAAGCCAGCTGGGCCCTGGAAATTTTTTTTTTTTTTAACATTACAAGAGATATTTCTAAGTGGGCGTTAGGGTCATGACATTTTCTCAGCTGGGCAAGCCAGTGGGGTGAGACTTTTAAATCTCACGTCCCCTTCGAAATAAGCTGTGGCGCTAGGCTGTGTTGCCTCCTTCTCCTCTCCTCCCCCCAAAGTGTGTTCTGACAGAGGATAAAGCTATTTTACCAAAAAAGAAAGAAAGAAAGAAAGAAAGAAAGAATTGCTTGCTTTTTAAAGGCGAAATACCAGTGGGATTTTTTTTTCTTTGGTAGACCGTGAAAGATTCTAAAATTTATATTTATATATGTAAACGCAGAAGTCCAGGAACAGCCAAGACATTATTGAAGAAAACGAACAAGATGGAAGATGAATTAGCTCAATAATTCAGTTTGGAATTGAAAGGCAGTATAAAATAGTTGTTAAGAGCATAAACTAAGAGCCTGAATGCCTGTTACATCCAGGATGTTAGACGAAGCTCTACTAGATATGTGACCTCAGGAAGTTAAACCTTTATGTGCTTCAGTTTCTTTATCCATAATATTGGAAAATGAAATTCTGATCTAAATGACATTTGTGAAGATTAAATAACTTAATATTTATAAAGCATTTAGAACACTATCCAGCACCAAGTAAGAACTATATGTATGTTTGGTACTGATTCAAGGATAAGTAAACCAATGGAACACAAAAGAGAGCCCAGAAATAAATCTATCCATATATCTACACTTAATATTTAATAGATATAGTACTGTACACAAGTAAGAAAAGGATAGCTATTTAAATAAAAGATACTAGGAAAAAAACAACCCAGTGTGAAAAAAAAATGAAATTGGACCCCAGCCTCAATCATATAGAAAAATCAATTCCAAGTAGGATGAAAGACCTAACAGTAAAAGGCAAAATTATATAACTTTTAGAAGGTCACATAGGGGAATAACTTTATGAATTCAGGGGATGGAATGATTTAGAAGACAAAATTCTCAAACCAAAAAAGAATGATAAATTCAACTTCATTAAAATTAATAACTTTTGTTCATCAAAAGACATCATAATCGAACTGGGAGTAACTATTTGAAACACAAACTAAGCAAGGAATAATGTATAAAATATTAAATGGTTTCCTACAAATCAATAAGGAAAAAAATAAACATTCTTTCCTCTAAAATTGATAAATTAAACCAGGTGTCAGCAAACTACAAACAGCAGGATTAGGTAAAAATGGTTTACATACTTTTAAGTAGTTAAAAAAATATCTAAATAATATTTTGTGACATATGCAAATTATATGAAATTTACATTTTATTATTCATAAAATAAAATTTTACTGGAACACAGCCAAATCACTCATTTACACAAATGACTGCTTTCACACTACAAGAGCAGGGTTGAATAGTTGCAACAAAAACTTCATGGCCCACAAAGCCTAAAACACTTACAATCTGGCTATTCACAGAAAAAGTTTACTGGCACCTGAGTTAAACTAATAGGCATCTCATAGAAGAGCAAGTATAAATAGTCTATAAGTATATGAAAAGATGTGCAATTTCATTAGTGTGGTAAGAAAAATACAAACTGAAAACACCATATTATACACTCCAGATCTTCAAAAAATGTAATATCTGACAATTCCAAGCACTGGCATTGAAATGAAATACCAGATCTCTCTTCCACTGCTCCTGGGAGTACATATGCCACTAGAAATAGATTCTCTGAAAAATGCTTGCATGAGATATGTCCAAGAACATATCAGGAGACATGTATTGATACAAGACTAGTTACAGAAGCAATACTCATAAAAACAAAAGAGTAGAAACCAAATACCCATCAACAGAACAATGAATAAATAACCAGTGGTAATAAAAATGAATGAACTATACCTACAAACGTCAACATGGATACACTTCAAAAATATAATGAATGATAAGATGCAAGGCTAAAGAAACACATACAAAATATGATATCCTTTAAAAAGGGGAGTGCACGATGAAACAACGTGTTACGTAAGGATTCATACATAGTTGGTAACATTTATTAAAAATACAAAAAGCCGGACACAGTTAACTTTCCAAGGAGACAGTACAATAATAAAGTCAAATTAGGGCATACTGGTGACTTCTGGGGTATGTTCTATTACTTGGCTTGAGGGTTGGGTATAAAGGTATTTGTTTTACTGTTGTTCTTTACATTATATTACTTGCTTTTGTGTATATGCTATATTTTAAAATAAAACATATTTCCAAATACCACAAAACTGGACAATATATTGTTTAAGGATGCAAACATATAAGATTAAAAACTACAATGAAGAGTAAGGAGGAAAAAAAGCAAGGATATACAATTTATATAATAGCTTGTTATCATCTCAATTTTTAATAAAAATATGTAAGAACAATAGAAAAAAACCCATATGTGCAAAAATTCCAAAAAAGATCCACATTACCAAATCTCACTCAAGAAGAACAAGAAAATCTGATTAGACTTACATCAAGTAAAGAAATGGAACAGTAATTAAAAATTCTTCCCCACAGAAAACCTCAAAGCCACACAGCTTCACTGCTGAGTTCCATCAAACACTTAAGGAAGACATAATATATACCAATTCTACATAAATCTTTCAGAAAACAGATGGGAAAACACTTCCAAATTCATTTTATGAAGCCAATATTAGCCTGATACTAAAGACAGAAAAGTATAAAACAGTTAGAAATACTGGTGTACCTACCCCAAGAATTAACAAGCTTAACAACTGGATAAATTTTTAAACACTCATAATTTACAGTGATATTTTATTTCATGAGAATGTCAGGTCAGCTAGAATCTTTTTCAGGTTATGGCACACATAAATAACAGTATCTGTACAATGATACTAGTATAACTGAATGCTGCTCCAGGACAGAGTCAAATAATCTGAGAACTCTAGTCCTTTATCCAGCTGCCCAGAAAGCTGAAGGGGTCAATATATTATACTTAAAACCCACTCAGGGCACAATAGTGTGTCATGGAACAGTAATTACAAAGCTCTGATCCAGGGCAAAAAGATTATGTCTCTTTGGTTCCTTGACATGTGGAGAGTTACGATAGTAGTTTGTTTAAAAATCATATACATTGGAATCAAAGTCAAGAAATATGGAAAGGAAAATGGGGTGGGACAAGAAGACACAAGTGAGAAACTTCATTTTGTAGCTTTTCTTAAGTTGGATTTTTAACCTTAAAGATGTATTAAAAATAAAATTAAAGAGAAAAAAAGTAAATGTCTTAGGTTATAATATCAGTTCCATTACTAACTACTTGTATGACTTGTAGTAGATTCATTTATTTATATTAGCTTTACTTTCTAAATAGGACAAATAAAATGGACAATCTACTTCCTAAACACTCTAATACTATAATTTTTCAAATAAAAGCAATGGAAGCAAATCAAACCATGGCTTCTGAAAAATTTCTTGTTCTTTATTCCTATGAGCCATGTACCTTTGATGTTTTGGGGACTCCTTGTTATCTCATGCTAACAAACCACAATAAGAAAATATAAGGCATAAGAATTTTTATTTAACATAAAAATCAGGTCATCACTGTATCTCATCAGTATTATTTGCTAATAAGCCTATACATCTATTTCCTTTCTTCCAGTCACATTCCAAACTTTGACTTCCTGACTCAACAAGTACCTCAGCCTTTTCTAACCCTACTATTTGATATTCTCTTCACTCCTTTAAATATACCACCTTACCCAGATGCTCCACTGTTTAAAAATTACCTGTCCAACTCCACAACAGTATCTAGTCCAAGAACCTTACTCTCTTGCACCCAGCAACAACAAAAGGACCTGTCCTTCAACCACTAGCCACCTAGTTCAAAGGACTCTCTTAACATTATAATGCTACGTTAGTAAGTATCCATGAAAATAAACTTAAAAAAAAAATCTCGTTTATTCAGTCTGACTTCATATCCTCTGCTCTGAAATCTGAAATGCATTACAAGGTTCATAATACTTCAAAATAGCAAAAAGATAAAAAGTAAATCACACATTTGCTACTCCTCTACCCCCCTCCCCACAAAAGCACTCCACAACTAAGTTCCAGCAGTATTACTTGTACTAATTTCATTTATGAGATACTTAATCGTCATTTTACAAATAAACAGATTCTGAGATTAGGCCACCCAACTACTGAAGAGCAGGGCTAAAATAAGAACCTAATTATGCCTAACTTCAAAGCCCATGGACCTACTAAGACACACTGCTAAAATCCGATGACTGTTTAATTTATACCTATGAACAATCTTAAAGGACAATTATATTTAATAATGTTAATGAATAGAAACAAATTCATACCTTTTTGTATACAGCTGCTGTATCAGAATCCAGAACAATTATATTCCTTAGCTTTGCATTTATTTCAGTCACTGATGGCCTCATAATCATCTCAGAATCAAGCCCTAAGGGAAAAAAAAATTATTAAATTCTTTTTCCTTCATTTAATAGTTCTGAATTTACTTTTCCTCAAATCTTATTACCTTCAATCTTAATTTCTGAAATGTTATGTTTCTGATCTTGAATGAAGATCTGTAAACATGATAATTCTGCTAAAATCTGTAAGGTAATAATATCTTCATTCTTGGATACTTTTAAAGCTGCAAAAAGAAAGTCATATTGTAAAACATAAGAAAACCTTTAGTAGTTACCTTACTACACTTATAAAGTAACTGAAATATCACAACACTGATAATGCTAGAGGAAAACATGATTTGCAAATTGAAAGCAAACAATATATTACCTACTAAATTAGGAATGCTAAAGAAAATCAAATCCAATGAAAACAAAGCCAAACAAATGCAAAGAGACAAAACAAAAATAGCTCGTATATGAGAATAACATTTGAAACTAAGAAGCTGTAGTTGTAAAATCATAAATCTTTTGCGATTTAATGATTACAGGGTGATACATGTTATTATCAAACTTGCAAGTTTTGACTGCTTAAAAAAGCACTCCGATTAAAATATATACTCTCATATTATTCAAATTGTTAGTTCTATTTTTCTAATTTAAATAATATTAAATGCATGAAATTTAATTACATTAATACTTCTACTGTATAATCTTCAACTAAAATGGATGATAAGATAAATAAAAGCCACTTTTCTTCAGCAATAATCACTTTACTATTATTTTCTAAAATTAACCTGGTATATAATGAATCTTTCTAAATATTAATCTAGCAATAGAATTCTAAAGCCAATATTATAATAATAATGCAAGAGCCAAAATTTATTGATCTTAGTAAAAATGTGATGTTGAATTTTAAAGAAACATACGTATTTTTTTAATAAACTCTCCTTTGTCTTCAGTCTCTGCAATATGCACTGGGGCTGGTTTTTCCTCCGAATATGGAAGGATATTATTAAAATAATTTATTGTATTCAGAAGTGCTTCAGTATGTAAATGAATATCCAAAGAGGAAAAATTCACCTAAAGAACAAAGCTGATTTTAGTAATATAACAAATATTTGTCTGTATTCTTTGTGGTATAAAGGATACAATTTATAATATTCAATTTTTATCCTCAAGGATCTTACAGTTCTAGTTATAAAATAATTTTCATAATATATTTGCTTAGAAATGCAGTATCTAACTAAAAAATAAATTATTATTCACCTATACCTTAATCAGTTGCACAACATTGTTATAGGTGCCCTTCAACATTGTTATGGGTAAATTCTTTTCAGCCTATACAAAGTGAAAAAAACAAATCTGTTAGATTATCAGAGGAAGACATATGTATATATATATAATTACATAATGGTCCTAACACACATTTATATAATTTTGCCAGCTATTTATATATATATAATTACTTAAACGACTGCTTCACCAGAACAAATTTGCTAAGTATTCAATAAATGTTACGTACTATCTTGCTTATTATCAAGAGTAGATATTTAGGTATTATCACATGTAGAGGACAATCATTTAGTCAGCAACAACTGTAAGATACTTCCCAAATCTTCCTATATGTTAAAACAAAATTTTGACGCAACACTCTACCAGGTATCAAATACTCTGTGGTATCTTTAGATTTGGAACATTTCTACAATATAAAAGCTGTTTAATTCATAAACAAAAAACACTAAAATATCTATATCAATAATAGTAAAAACTGGTCTTAAAAGTGATATAATTCTCATTTACCATTAAGTACTGTAATTATTAAAATAACATGGCACTTACATAAAAACAGGTCAATGAAAACAAGGGCTAAATCATATGTAGACCACAGTACACATAAAAACTTAATAAATGACGAAATGGTTGTCATAAATCAATAGGAAAGGAATAGAGTCACTGACAGCAGGAAAATTAGGTAACTTCAGACAATGGTGGGAAATCAAGTGAAAGCCTCGTCTTATATCCTATACCACAATAAATTCCATCAAGACTGAAAAGTTTGGGCTTCCCTGGTGGCGCAGTGGTTGAGAGTCCGCCTGCCGATGCAGGGGGCGCGGGTTCGTGCCCCGGTCCGGGAAGATCCCACATGCCGCAGAGCGGCTGGGCCCATGAGCCATGGCCGCTGAGCCTGCGCGTCCGGAGCCTGTGCTCCGCAACGGGAAATAGCCAAACTGCAGGTCATTTCTACTTAGAATGTGTGCTGCTTATTATCTTGCTATGTGCAGTGTTTATAAATCACAAGTATCTAACAGAGGATGACAAAACAAAAAAATCTTAAACTTTTAGGAGTTATAGCGATCACATCAGAATGAAGATTAAACTGAATATTGCTAAACTTATAAAACTTGATTTTAATATTTCAGCAGTATGCTTACCATAACAAGAATATAAATCAAACTACTCACCTTCACATATTCCAGTGTTAACAGATCTTCCATTGTGTTATCCAGTGTTGTAATCAAATAAACTGGTTTCTTGTTTTCATCTAAAAATAATTTCTAAAATTATTCTTTCATAGAAAAACTAATGGAAAATAAATGCAGGCAATATTAATAATTATAGAATTGGAAAAGAAGAATTTCCTGTATCATATCAATTCTGGGCCTTGATTTCTTCTGTATTACTCAACTCAGGTCCTTCATCCTTTATTTTAAACTCTAAAAATGTAATTGCATCTCACAATTCCCTTCTCTTATGCTACAATGCTGAAGATTCTTACCCTTCTAAACCTAGATAGGAACATGAAGAGATTCTAGTCCTGAGTCATAGAAATAGCTAGAAAGAAAACTGTCAGTATGTCTAAAATCCTAATTGTAGAGAAAAAGCATCAGGTATCTGATGAGAAACTAAATTGTTGTCTGTATTAGTTTAGATTAAAATAAACTCTTTTACCATATTATCAGTCTTTACTAGTTGTATTGTTGCTGCTGCTCAAATTCTAAGAAGATAAGTGAGGAAACTGCTGTAGAATAGTATTTTGTGTAAAGTCTTTATAACTATCATCAGCAAATTACTTACGACTGTTCAAAATCAATAACTAGATACTGGAAGAAAGGACTACAAACCAATCATACAACTGTTCAGGAAAAAAATGCAACATATTTCCACAGAATCCTCCAGATGTAAAAGCTTATTAGCAATTAAGCTAGTCTTCTACTGTAGATGCTAATCACATTTCAATCCTTAAGGTCTCCACTTTTTTCACATATTTATTCATTCATTGAATAACTATTTACTGATCATTTACTTTGTGTAAGAAATTGTGCTATTCACTTCTTCCTACTCTTTCTAAGAAAACAGAAGCAAATATATTACAAAATAGGTGCACTAATAATTATATATCTTGTATTATGTGTGTAAGAGTTTTCTTATCATTTGCTTTTGGGAAAACAAAAAATTATAAAAAACATAAATATTAACAACTGCTATAATACTTCTGGATTACTGGTGAACACTACCAAGTTGGTTTACTTTTCTTTCCAACTGCCAGAGCAAACTTTGATGTAAAAAGCATAATAAAGCAGAACTCTGTATCTTCCATGTATGATAATTTTTTCAGGAAGAGATAATCATAACACAATTCACCACATGCAAGTTCTCAGAGGCTACAGAACAAGTGTATAGAGTATGGAACTAAAATGTATAAATCATATCCAATGATTAAGTTTTCAGGCCACACTACTTAATCTGCTTCCCAAAATACAAAGATCACATTTAATTCAGGGCTCACAAAAAAGGGGAAGTTTTCATTATACCAGTTAACTGACATCTTTTGTCTAGGAATGAGTTCCCAGAGAAGATGGCCTTCTCAAATCCTTGAGATGTACATAAGCATATTCCTTACCTTTCTTATTCCCACAGATAGTTCATTTTTACTTTAGTTCTCTAACTCCCTTATTTTCTGTATCACAATTCACTGGGGAAAAAAATTCCTAAATGAGTTCAAAAGATTTCACAAGATAGCTTCCATTTAAAACTTAAATAACTTATAAACATTAAAAAAATTAAAAGTCAACCATCAAAAGAACATGGAGGAATTTCCTGGTGGTTCAGTAGTTAGGATTTGGCACTTCATTGCTAGCGTCCAGGTTCTATCCCTGGTCAGGGAACTAAGATCCTGTGAGCTGTGCAATGCAGTCAAAAAATAATTTTTTTAAAATTAAAAAAAAAAAGAACATTGATTCCAGGACAGCTAAGAGTAAGGTACTTTTATACACATGCAAATAGAACACATTCATGTGGTCTCAAAAACAAAAGTAAAGCCCTACTAACTTTTAGTTAGAAAAAAATTATTTTAGCCAACTGCATCAATGATCACTTTGAACATCAATGGTCTAAATGTACCAAATAAAAGACAACAATTGCCAAAACGGATCAAAAAAACAAGACCCAAGTATACACTGTCTACAAGAAACCCACTTTAAATATAAAAGTACGTATAGATTGAAAGTAAACAGATGTTGAAAAATATATTATGTTAACACTAATAAGAAGAAAGCAGAGATAGCTATATAAATTTTCAGACAGAGCAGACTTCAAAGCATGCAAAAGTTATCAGGGATAAAGAAAGGCATTATATAATGATAAAGGGGTCAATTCTCCATTAGAACACAACAATCCTTAAGGTGTACTTATCTAACAATAGAAAGCAAAAGTGATAATACTGCAAAGGGAAATAAATGAACCCACTACCATATTAGAACACTTCACACCCCTCTATCAAAAAAGGACAGATCTAGCAGATGAAAAATCAGTAAGGACATAGTTGAACTCAGTAATACCATCAAATAACTGGATGTAATGGATGTCTACAGACTACTTCACCCAGCAAGAGCAGAATATTCATTCTTCTTAAGCTCACATGGAATATTCACCAAGATCAAGCACATTCTCAGCCACAGAACACACCTTAGCAAATTTAAAAAAAAGAAATCATACAACGTCTGGCTTCAGACCACAACAGAATTAAAATAGAAATCAATAACAGAATAGTTGGAAAATTCCAAAATATTTGGAGAATAAACAACACACTTCTAAGTAACACATAAGTCAAAAAAGAAATCTTAAAGAAAGAATTAAAAAACACTTGGAACTGAATAAAAATGACAACACACCTAATCAAAATCTGTGGGCTATAGTGAAAGCTGCACTTAGAGGGAAACATAGCACTGAATGCATATATTAGAAAAGAAGATTTAAAATCAATAATCTATGGTTCCACATCTTAGGAAACTAGAAAAAGAAGAAGAGAACAAATCCAAGTAAGCAAAAGTAAAGAAATAATAAAAATTAGATCAGAAATCAATGAAACCAAAAGCAAGAAATCATTAGAGAAAATCAAAGAAACCAAAAGTGGTTCTCTGAAAAAAAATCAACAAAGTTATACATCTCACCAGGCTAACTTAGGAAAAACAAAGAGAACACAAATTACTAGTATCAGAAATGAAACAGAGGACATCACTATAGGTACCATGCACATTAAAAGAATAAAGAAATACTATGAACTCTGCCCACCAATTTGATAACCTAATAAAATGGAACAATTCCTTGAAAGACATACTCTGTCAAACTCACACAGGAATAAACAAACTGAATATCTATTAAAGAAATTAAGTCAATAATTAATACCCTTCCAAAACAGAAAGCACCAGGCCCAGATGGGTTCACTAGTGAACGTTAACAAACATTTAAGGAAGATACTATACCAATTCTGTACAATCTCTTTCAGACTACAGAAACAGAAAATACTTCCTAACTCCTTCTATGAAGCCTGAATTACCCTAATACCAAAACTACACACACAAACACACAGACCAAAAAAAAAAAAAAAACGGGGGAAAGGAAGAAGAAGGGAAGAAGAGAACTACAGGACAGGAATTTTCATAGGAATTTTCACTAACACAGATGCAAAAATCTTCAACAAAATAATAGCAAATTAAATCCAACAGTTGAAAAAATTATGCACCATGACCAAGTAGGATTTATCCCAAGATAACAGGCTGGTTCAACATTCGAAAATCAACTGACATAATCCATCACATCCATAGGCTAAAGAAGAAAAACCACATGATCATATAAATTGATGCAGAAAAGGCATCTGACAATATCCAACAACCACTCATGATAAAAGCTCTCAGTGAACTAGGAATAAAAGAGAACTTCCTCAACTTGATAAAGAGTATCTTCAAACAACCTACAGCTAACATCATAATGGTGAGAAATTCAAAGCTTTCACACTAAGGAACAAGGTAAGGATGTCCTTCCCCTCTTACCACCCATTTTCACATTGTAATGTAGGTCTTACCAAATACAATAAGAGAAGAAAAGAAATAAAAGGTATACAGACTAGGATGCAGACTGGGATGGAAGACATAAAACTGTTCACAGATTACATGATCATATATGCACAAAATCTAAAAGAATCAACAATAAAAAAACTCAAACTAGTATGTCATTATAGTAAGGTTGCAGGATACAAGTCAACGGCTTCCCTATATACCAAAAAAGGACAAAGTGGAATTTGAAATTAAAAACACAATTTTTATTTACATTAGCACCCCAATAATGTAATTCTTAGGGAAAAAAATCTAATAAAATATGCACAAGACCTCTATGAGGAAAACTACAAAACTCTCATAAGTGTTTAGAGTTCAAGAATCCAAATATATGGAGAGATGATCCATGTTCAAGGATAGGAAGACTCAACAGTTCCAAGATGTCATTTATTCCCAACCCGATCTATAGATTCAATGCAATACCAAGCAAAATTCCAGGAACCAATTCATGTATATTGACAAATTGATTCTAAATTTCATAAGGAGAGGCAAAAGACCCAGAATACCTAAGACAGTACAGACGGTCCCCAACTTAAGATGGTTTGTATCATGATGGTAAAAAAACTGATATCCACATCTGGTGGCAGGGTCTGGGGAAGGGGCGGCAGGCGCCATGTCGGGCTGTGAAGGTGGCGAGAAGAAGCCCCTGAAGCAGCCCAAGAAGCAAGCCAAGGAGATGGACAAGGAAGATAAGGCATTCAAGCAGAAACAGAAGGAGGAGCAAAAGAAACTCGAGGAGCTAAAAGCGAAGGCCACGGGGAAAGGCCCCCTGGCCACAGGTGGAATTTAGAAATCTGGCAAAAAGTAAGCTGTTCCTTGTGCCTGAGGCAATGATGATCCTTAGTTCCATTCCTGTTTAAACATCTGGATTAAACATCTGGATTCCATGCCATAGCATCTGTTGCCACCTATAGCTAGAATGAAGTGTTGTCTTGGAACCTGTGTACATTTAAGAATAAACTTTTGTAAAAAAAAACAAAAAACAAAACAAAGAAAAAAAAACTGATAAACTTACAACTACTGTACCCTTACAACCATACTGTTTTTCACTTTCAGTACGGTATTCAATAAATTATGAGATATTCATCACTTCATGATAAAATAGGCTTTGTGTTAGATGATATTGCTCAACTGTAGGCTAAATAAGTGT